ACGTTTTATTCCAAGCATGACTTTTACATTTCCTTTTTCGTGATCCCTCTATCTTCTCCAACTCCCCCGCAAGGTATATAAAAACCCGGTGAGGCCGTGGCTTAGTGATTGGTTGGGAACGCTGGGGGTCCGAACCCAACAAATACAAATAGGCTGTATTAGGAACGGGCCCTGGACAGACTGAGAGGCTGTACCCCGGCCTGAGAAAACATCCTTACAGATGGCGCCCTAGCAGGGACCCTAGAGAAGAAATTTGCGAAAAATAGTGCAAGAAATTGTAGGAGCAACCAGCGATAAGTGGTATGAACACCAGTACAGCGTAGATCTGCCTCAGAGAATCACCCACCCCCAAAGCCAAGATCACAGACCCAGCCCCATATACCTCGTGCGACCACGACAGGGACAGCATAGAATCATCCAAGAACAACGAGCCGAGCAACAACACACGCCAAAAAAAAAAAAAAAAAAACAAAACCGCAGGCAGCAAAACCGACCCTCCAACCCATGTACAGCTGAGGCTGGTTTTCTAAGCTCCTCGCAGCCACGCGCCAAGAGAAGTTTGGCAACAGCGCGACCACGCTTCGCGACGCCCGAAAACACATTGGCGCACGTGGGAGAAAGAGACTGCAGGTGACGCCGAGAAGTGCGGCAACAGCGCGACCACGCTTCGCGGTCGGCCGTAGCAGCAGCGACGCCCGAAAACACATTGACGCACGTGTGAGAAAAGGACAGCAGGTGACGCCGAGAAGTGCGGCAACAGCGCGACCACGTTTCGCGCTCCAACTGCCTGGCTCACGAGCACTCGGGCAAGGACTGCCGCAGTGGAGACCTCTGCAAGGTGTGCTCCCGCAACCACCACACGCTGCTCCACCTGCCCTGCCCGTCGACGTCACCTCCGTCTTCCCGCGCTGAACCACGCCCTCGTCTTCCGGTCAGCCGCCGCCGCCGCCGTCGTCGGACATCCAGTCCCGACAGCAACCTCCTTGCTCCAGCACCGGAGCATCAACGTCCTCCCGACGGCAATGGTGGTCCTCGCAGTGCAGCAAGCCACTAAGGTGTTGAGTGCACTGATTGATCCCTGCACGCCGGTCAGCTGCATCGACGCCGAGGTGGCTAGGGAGCTGAAGTTGCCCACCACCTGCATCGGGGACGAGAAGGTGTGCACCGCCATGATCCGGGCGAAGACAGGAGAGTTCAAAGTGGAGGCCGTCTTCAAAATCGAGCCCCGTCTGCGCGTCCATACGCCGATCCGTTCACTGAGCGACACCGTCCGTGCTCGCATCGACGACTTGAAGTTGGCCAACGAGCAGTTCCATCTCGCTCGTCTTGCGTGCAGATTTGTATCCAAGGGTCATCCAACCTGGGTTCCTCGCCCGCGCAGACGGCCTTCCCGTGCACGCAGACCTAAAATCTTTGCACACCTGCAAGGGGGGGAGAATGTTCACAGTGAGGACGGCGCTGGCGGGGCAACCGCTCTGTGGGCATTCCAGCCAGACATCGCTGTTAGCGTTCCAGCTACACAAGCGGTCGCCTCGCTCTCGCCCTCATACTTAAGAGTACGTACGCTCTCTCGCGCGCATACTCACCACGCTGGCTCTCCCGCCCACGCTCACGCTCCCGCTCTCGCCGCCGACAGCCCTCAGCAGCTTGAGTGGCACCGATCTAGCTTTAATTCGCTATTCCACCCGAAGCAAAACGGCCGGCTTTTGCGCGCGATACCTATACATATTTAACTACAATTAACCCTACGAATAAAACCCTAAATCTGTACATATTGAAGAACTTGGACCGCTGCATCTCGTATTTATTTTTGGGAAACGATCCTGGGACCTCGCACTGACCTGTATTATTAAACGAAATATATAATAAGTAAACTAAACTAAACGTTGATTAGTGGGACCGATGACCTCTGGGGAGCAGTCAGGTACCATCACTAAAAACCCAGCAGTCAGGAACTATCACTAAGAACCAAGAACCAGCACCCAGAACCGAGAACCAGCACCAAGAACACGAAAGAGAAACACCGAGCGAACGAAAAGGGAGGATACGCTTAAGAGAGCGATAGGCGGGCATAAGCAAAGAGAACGGAGCTGGCCGTCGGGAGAAGAAGCCCTAGCCAAGCATAGCTGGCATGCGGCAGCAAAGATGAGCGAAAGAGCGCTTGGCAAGGCTGGCACGCGTCAGAAATATGAGCGGCAGAGCCAACGACGCAATTCTAGCGCAAAGTCGAAAATCACCCCAAGCCAGCCCACAGAAGCCGAGAGAGGAGCAGCGCCGCAACGCAAGAAATAATCGACGATCGGCTCAGCGTTCGGCAGCTAAGCTACAAAGTGGCCGAGGGCCGGGCGGAATTACCGGCAGAGGCCGGATCAAGCGGCTTGGCACGCGTCAAAAAAGATGCGAGCCAGGAGTCGAAAAATGGTGTCAAAAGCGAGCAGTTCAGTTCCAGAGCAGGGTCCAGACCTAGTGCGATCGCCATGACCCCCGCCCCCAGGATTTGTGCCAACGACAACAACACAGCACCCAGCCAACGACACCGACGGAATCCTGCCCGCTGAAGATTTCCCCAACACGGAGGCCACCGAGAATCAGCGGAATAGCACCAAACCAGGCGAAAAGAGGACGGGTAAGCCGGCTCACTGGTGGGTGTGTAGCGAGAGAAAGAGACGGTGTGATAGGTAGGGACCCAACCACGGATATAATAAAGAATATATATAAAACGCTCTTGGTTATTGTATCGGCTGTCCCAAAACCACTCCATCCCTCTTCCACTATCCTTGGGGAGACGGACCATAGCATCAGTACGCGGTCAAGCACGGTGACTGTGGTCCGCCCCTCCCCCTTCTCGTAGCCCGTTTCCCGTAGAAAACCTTGCCTTTTTCCCCCCGGAGGACCAGTTGAAAGGTGTGTACGCGGGCAGGCACGGCATCCCCGGAACAGGATTCCCCATTCCCCTCGAGCATTTCCTTCCCATGCCTGGCTGTAAGGGCCCCGTTCCGGTCCCACGCGCGGAGCGCCGCACTTTGCCCTCGCAACTCATTCCAATCTCTAGGTCCAAAAAATACAAATAGGCTGTATTAGGAACGGGCCCTGGACAGACTGAGAGGCTGTACCCCAGCCTGAGAAAACATCCTTACAGATGGCGCCCTAGCAGGGACCCTTAGAGAAGAAATTTGCGAAAAATAGTGCAAGAAATTGTAGGAGCAACCAGCGATAAGTGGTATGAACACCAGTACAGCGTAGATCTGCCTCAGAGAATCACCCACCCCCAAAGCCAAGATCACAGACCCAGCCCCATATACCTCGTGCGACCACGACAGGGACAGCATAGAATCATCCAAGAACAAGGAGCCGAGCAACAACACACGCCAAAAAAAAAAAAAAAACAAAACAAAACCGCAGGCAGCAAAACCGACCCTCCAACCCATGTACAGCTGAGGCTGGTTTTCTAAGCTCCTCGCAGCCACGCGCCAAGAGAAGTTTGGCAACAGCGCGACCACGCTTCGCGACGCCCGAAAACGCATTGGCGCACGTGGGAGAAAGAGACTGCAGGTGACGCCGAGAAGTGCGGCAACAGCGCGACCACGCTTCGCGGTCGGCCGTATGTTTCTTTTCGCTCATCTTTGCTGCCTGCTGAAGGTGCACGCAGGCTTCGGGGGAATCCAGAGGGCGATTTGGGCTAGGTGGGCGATCTCGGGGGAAATCGTTAGAAAAGAGAACACAAGTATGTCTATTCAAGATACGTTTTATTCCAAGCATGACTTTTACATTTCCTTTTTCGTGATCCCTCTATCTTCTCCAACTCCCCCGCAAGGTATATAAAAACCCGGTGAGGCCTTGGCTTAGTGATTGGTTGGGAACGCTGGGGGTCGAACGCCAACATCCCGCCCCCCTTTGCAATGTATTGCAACTTATGGGGAGTCCAATGCTGCAGAAATGCTTTACGGCCGGCACCCGCCCGACAGCGTCCACCCGAAGACGGTGTGCTGTGCAACGGGGAGCCCCTCGGCACTCGGCAGCATTCCATCGCGGATGACATCACCATACACGTCCGCTCCCAGAATGAGAGCCACAGTGGCCGGGCAATGAAAGTTGTCGTCTGCCAACGTTAGGTGATTGAATTTGCTCCGTATGCGATCACCGATGGACGCGGAGGGAGTTCGCAGATGCAGCTTCGGGTCCACCTGGAACACGACCTCCAACTGGAAGTCCGGGGACATCGGTGACCGGAGCACTGCTGCACAGGCTTCTTCATCCCCGATCATGGACGTGCGCAAATGGAAGGCCTTGGCCCGCGACGCGTTGATCGCTGACATGGGGCGGCAGGGGTCGATCAACGCCCTGGTCTCATAGGTGGTGGTCCCGTTGTCGACGGTGACGCTTGCGGTCGGTAGTACCTGCGGGTTGCGGTGCTGCAGCAGTGTGGTCAGAGTCGGAGGTCGGCTGGAGGAGGATGCCGATGTCCTCGGAGGAGTAGGCCGTCGATCAGTCGCTGTGTCCCGCGTTCGAGGTCGGCGGGAGGCGGAGGATGTCGTCGTCGGAGCTCGAGGTCCAGCTGGTGAGGATGGTGTGACGGATGTGGGGCGACGACGATTTGTGTCCGGGATATGCAGGAGGGTGTGGTGGTGCTTGTGGCAATGCCGACACCGGTCTCCGCTGCGGCAGTCGCGTCCCCGAGTGCTCATGGGCTAGGCAGTTGGGGCAGTACTGATTGATGAGTGCTGCCCGCAACCGCTTTTCAGCGCTTAGCCGCAGGAACCGCCCGCACTTCCTAAGAGGATGGACGCCTCGGCAGACTCGGCAACGGTAGGACATAGTACCTCGGGTACGTCTGCTGTCGTGAGCTTGGCCCTCGGTGCTTCTGCGTTGGGTGCGTGTGGGCTGCTGGGGTGCCATAATGAGACCGTGGCTGCGGAAATCGGAAGTGAGGATTAGTAATGATGTGCAGGAGAGTTGTACGGACGAGTTGTGCTTAAGCCTAAGGATAAGAAGGCTGATACTTATGGGTCGGGTAGTACGCGGGAGTAGGTGGACTGGATCTCCGACTCCATAGGCAGCAGGACGACCTTAGTAATCGGTCTTTTGATAAGGCCTCGGACAGTGTTAAGGTCTATCACACGGACCTTATCATCGGGCCCAGGGTACGTTTTTTGTACCCGTCCGAGACGCCATTCGTGAGAGGGGATGTTATCCTCCTTGATAACAACGAGGTCTCCCACCTCTAGGTCTCTTGTTGGATGCTGCCATTTGGTTCGCTTGTGCAACTCTCGTAGGTACTCCGTTTTCCAGCGCGAACAGAATTGCTGGTTTAGAGCCTGGAGATGTTGCCAGCGGTTCAGGATGGAGGAGGCGCTCTCTTTTATTTCAGGCTCCGCCACGGAGAGTAGCGGCCCGCCGATCAGGAAGTGACCTGGGCTTAGAGCTAGCGGGTCATTCGGGTCCTCGGACATAGGAGAGATCGGTCGAGAGTTAAGGCAGGCCTCAATTTTGGAGAGTAAGGTGGCGAACTCCTCCAATGTATATTTGGCCGTACACATCGACCGTTGGAACAGAGTCTTGAAACTCTTCACGCCTGCTTCCCAAAGGCCACCCATGTGTGGGGCTCCCGGAGGGATGAACCGCCACGATAAGCCCTGCTGACTGTATACCGCAGAAGTCCGCGTTCGGATGGCTTCGAGAAGATCTACAGCCAGAGCACGAGATGCGCCGACGAAATTCCTGCCGTTGTCGGATTGGACCTCGTGAGGACACCCCCGTCTCGCGACAAAACGAGCGAAAGCGGCTAGGAAGGTGTCAGTGGATAGGTCGGAAGTGGCCTCTAGGTGGATGGCTTTCGTGGTGAAACACACGAACACGCACACATAACCTTTGGTTTTGCGGCATGCGCGCCCGATGAAGCTCTTGACGTCGAAGGGACCGGCAAAGTCGACTCCGGTGTATGTGAATGGTCTGGAGAATGTGACTCTTGTGGACGGGAGGTCACCCATTAACTGGGTCTGGAGTCGCTTGCGATGGATTACGCATACCTTACAGGATTGGATCACCGCCTTCACTATGTGACGTAGTCGAGGGATCCAGTAAGTTGCACGGAGAAGGCGAATGACCAGCTGGTTCCCACCATGGAGGACTATGTGATGAGTGAAGCGCACCAGCAGGCGAACGAGGAGGGATGCGGGTGGCAGTAGGATTGGATGTTTCTCGTTGTAGGACATGGAAGCGGAGGCTTGGACTCGGCCACATGCTCGCATGACACCGTTCTGGTCAATGAATGGATTGAGATTCCGTAGGGAACTCGATGCAGGGAGAGGACGTTTGGTTGTAAGGCACCGATGTTCGTCCGCATAGTGCATGCCCTGCGTTGCGATGGTAACGGCTTGCAGTGCGGCCGCTATCTCTGCCCCGCTTACCTCGTTGGAATTGTGGACTGACCCTCCTCTGCATCGTTGGATGAATCGCTGCACATAGGTAAGCACGCGCAAAGCTCGCCCGAGATCCGAGAATCGGCTGAGGATGTCAGAGGATGTGCTACTTGTATGCAGCACCTTGACTGCTCGCTTCTCCAAGTCAGTCTCCGGGAATGGGTCCAGTGGACACGGCCACTGTGACTGCGGAAGACGCAGCCAAGCAGGACCATGCCACCACATGTCGTTCCCCGCGAGGTCGATGGGTCCTATACCTCGGCTGGCTAGGTCGGCAGGATTGTCTTCCGATCGAACATGACTCCACAGCTCGCCGGAGTTGCAGCGCGCTATCTTGGCGACTCGATTGCCCACGAACGTGGTCCATTCGCACGCTGGTTTGTGCAGCCAGGCCAGCACAATGGTAGAGTCGGTCCAGAAGGATACCTGGCTACTGTCTAGCGGCATCTGTGGAAGGATGGCAGCGGACAATTCTGCCAGAAGAACCGCTCCGCACAGCTCAAGTCGAGGCAAGGATATCGTCCTCACGGGGGCCACGCGAGTCTTAGCTGTCAGGAGAGAGCAGAATATGCCATTCGGCCGCTCCACTCGGACGTAGATCGCCGCACCATAGGCACGCTGAGACGCGTCGCAGAAGCCATGAATCTGCACCTTGGCAGTCGGACAGACGTGGATCCACCTTGGTATGTGGATCTGCTGGATGGCCGGCAGATCGCCAGGAAGGTCCTCGTCCCAACCTAACTCTCGTAACCACACCTCCTGCATGAACATCTTAGCTTGGATGACAAAGGGGGCAAGCCATCCCGCTGGATCAAACAGCTTCGCAATCTGGGACAACACATTGCGTTTCGTGCAGGATTCCCGATGGATTAATTCGGGAGGGACAAAGAAAAACTCGTCGGCACTCGCTTGCCATCGGATACCCAAGGTCTTTGCGATTCTGCTTTCTTCGAGCTCGAGGAAATCAGCTCGCAGTAAGTGCTCGAGAGGGATGTCGCTCAGCACGCCCTTCTGATTTGCGGTCCATTTTCGGAGTGGAAAGCCGGCGGAATCGAGTGCTTCTCGCAACTCGGCGATGGCGGAAATTGCCTGAGGCTGGGTATGTGCACCAGCTAGAACGTCGTCTACGTACATGTAATTGGCCAGGATGTCGCTTGCCATTGGGAACCGATGCACTTGGATGCACTTCATGTGCAAGTTGCCTTAGGACGCGAATGGCGAGAAATGGCGCGCAGTTGACTCCGAAGGTGACCGTATCGAGTTCATAGTCGCACACGTCCCCGTTAGGATTGCGAAAGATTATCCGTTGGTAGGGAGTGTGTTGTGGCGCCACGAGGATCTGCCGATACATCTTATTGATGTCGGCGTTGAAAACGTAACGGAATACGCGCCACTTAAGGATTTGCGTGGTCAAGTCGGACTGAAGGACTGGCCCTGAATGCAATACGTCATTAAGGCTTCTTCCGTTCGAGGACGGGCTGGACGCGTTGAAGACCACGCGCACCTTGGTCGTTGTGCTTTCTGGCTTGAAAACGGCATGGTGTGGAAGATAGAAATGGCCAGAGTCATGACTAGGTGGAACCTGTTTCATGTGGCCTAGCTCTAAATACTCGTGAATGACATCGTCGTACTGCTTCTTGAGAGGCAAGTTTCGCTGCAGACGCTGCTCGTTTCTCAGAAACTGGGCGTGGGCCGAAGGCCTCGAGTAGCCCAAGTCTATCTTTTCTGGACATTTGAATGGAAGAGTGACGATGTATCTCCCGTCGGGAGCTCGCTGCGTGGTCTGGAGAAAATTTTCCTCGCAAATGGAGTCTGACTCGCTCGTAGGTCTCCCTGGAAGGTCCTCCACCTCCCAAAACCTTGTGAGAAGTTTCTCGAGTCGGACGTCAGAGCTGACCGAGATCTTCGTGGTGAAGGAAGAGATGATTCGAGACGAGTCAGCTGCGACAGGACCGGATAGGACCCATCCGAAGATAGTCTCTTGGCCCAAGAGCGAGCCACAAATGTTGGACCGGAAGCCGCTTAAAAGGATGGATGGAAGGATATCAGCGCCTATGAGCACGTCTATCTGCGCGCTGCGATGAAAGGAGGGATCCGCTAAATGGAGTTTAGGAAGGTCTGTCATGTAGTTCTGCGGTACAGGGTATGACGGGAGGTTACCCGCCAATTGCGGAAGAACGTACGCCGTGGTCTCAACCTGGAGGCCGGGCCTTAAGGCGGAGCCGATCGTGAAGTGGCAGAGTTTCTGGGCCTTGGCCGCTACCGTTTGACTCAAACCAGAGACTTGAGCCTGGACGGCTTGGAAGGGGGCCGAATGATTTTGAACATCCGCTCAGTAATAAAGGTGGCCTCAGATCCGGAGTCGATCAGGGCTCTAGCCTTGTATCTTGTGCCGGCATGACAAATGTCCACTATTGCTGTGCCCAGTAGCACCTGGTGTACATTTGTAGCGCAATAGCTCTGGACATGGGCTGAGTCGTTGGACGAAGGAAGAGAAGAGGAAGTGGACTGTATGGTGGCAGGGGCTTGTGTGGTGTGAGGACTGGGAGCACAGTTGGAGCCACTCGGAGTCTGCTCGCCCCGATGAAGGAGGGTGTGGTGTCGTCCACTGCACGTACTGCAGTTGTACGCGCTGGTGCAGTCCCGGAGTTGGTGTCCTCGCGCGAAGCAGTTTAAGCAGAGTTGTTTCTGCTGAATGTAGCTTGACCGTTCCTGTACGGTCAGGCGAAGAAATTCTGGGCATGATCGCACAGGATGATAGCTCCTGGAACAGAGGTCGCAAGTGCGCGCCTTGTTGGAGATTCTCCCCTCAAAGGAGTTCACTCGTCGATGTGCAGGAGTGGGAAGGCTTGGACGGGAATTGTAGTGCGGCTCGATGCCTGGATGACCGTCCTCGGTCGCCTCGAGAGAGAGGTATCTCTCCTCTAAGAACTTGTTCATGGCGCGCCAAGTCGGAACCTCGAATTTATTCGGAACCGATTGTTCCCAAAGCTCCACGGTCGCCTTTGGTAACTTCGCGGTAATGAGGTACACCAGCACGCCATCTGCAAAGCAGCTGTCGGTGGACACCTCGGAGTGCTGAAGGGTCGTGATGCATTTGTGGACAGACCTCTGGAGCTCCTTTAAGGCGGCTCCAGATTCAGATCGGATGGAAGGCAAGCTGAAAAGGATCTTCAACTGGGCCTTGAGTATCAGCCGTTTATTTTGGAAACGCTCACGAAGGTGGTTCCAGGCAGATTCAAACCCATCATTCGTAAGCGGGGCCTGTGCAACTATGTCGTGGGCTTCACCGCTCGTTTTCTGGTTGAGGTGGTATAATTTCTCCACCGGAGTCAACCTGGCGTTGTTTATGTAGATGGCGGTGAATAGGTCTCGGAACGTGGGCCACTGCTGGTAGTCTCCACTGAAAACCTCCGTGTCGCATGGGGGAAGGCGGCAATCGTTGGACATTTGCACCTGGACGGCTGGTTGCGCGGTCGGAATGACAGTTGGGGGCTGGAGATGGTCGTTGAGTTCAGCTAAACTTTGCTCGTACACCGCGTAACATTCATCGTATATGTCTTGGACCTCAACTTGACCATCTGGATCCTCTGTTGCTAGAAGTGCAGAACAGGCTCGATACTCCGATTCGACCTCCAACCACATGCCTCGGATCTGTTCCGAGTTGGGTTGGGGTGTTGGGGTGCGGGCATCAGGAGCATTAAGTTTCTGGTCAAAGTGAGTGAGCCGGCCTGTAGCCAAAACAAACCTAGACCGTGCAGAGCTGGCGGCAGATTGGGCCATTGTTCCTGGAACCGTGCACGTGGATGGTGAGGGACACAAGAGGGTGTCGAATATGGAGTGGCAGACCTTGGAAGTGGTCGGACCTTGCGGGCGTGAGGGCGAACGCGACGAAGTGGGTGTAGTAACTGCTGCGGAAGAGCTGGGCGGCTTGGCGTCACTCTGCGAGCTTACACGCTTTAGTTTTTTGCTGACTTTCTTTCCACCAGAAGGCATACTAAGCTGATGGATCTGCTATGGGAAGAGTTCGCAATTCCTGTGGTACACGGAGGGAAGAGTGCAATCGGAAATAAAATATTTAATGGGTTATTTTATATATGCGGGCAATTGTTAGTTAATGATCGTGTAATTTGTTTTAGCCGTGCGATTATGTATGGTATTAGTATGTATGGAAGTGCCGGCACGTATGTATGTATGTGAAGGTGCTTATAAGCCGGTGAAAATATATATATACATATGGATGTGAGCTATGTATGTTATGTTGATATAATTGTAATACGCGCAACAAATAAACATGTATATTTTCCTTGTATTGGCGTTTTATGTTGTGTGGGACGGATTGTGTGCACATACATATGTACGTACTTGCACCTGTGGAATGGCGACGGATCTCAGCAGCAGTACATCTGTACATACATATATGTATGAGGTGCCTGTTGTAGGGGGAGAAAAACCTCGCTTGGAATGATTCCGGGAGACCGGTAGGCAGGCAAGAGGGCCAACGGAGTAGGCAGCATGAGTGGTTTAGGCAATTAAGAGCGATAACAGGCTTTGGAGTGCCTATATGGGGTGCCAGAGTTGGCGGAAAATGGGACTTAGGTGATATGTACATACATATACTTGGATGGAGATGCAGATGACGGACGGAGTGTTTTCGAATGAGCAAAGCTGGTACTTAGCTTGGATTCTGGTTCCTCAAAGTTCCCGCGCTGCAAGCTGGATCGTAGGGGGGAATCTCTCCAATGCTTAATGTATCCGGCTCGAAGGACCAAAATGAAGGTGCACGCAGGCTTCGGGGGAATCCAGAGGGCGATTTGGGCTAGGTGGGCGATCTCGGGGGAAATCGTTAGAAAAGAGAACACAAGTATGTCTATTCAAGATACGTTTTATTCCAAGCATGACTTTTACATTTCCTTTTTCGTGATCCCTCTATCTTCTCCAACTCCCCCGCAAGGTATATAAAAACCCGGTGAGGCCGTGGCTTAGTGATTGGTTGGGAACGCTGGGGGTCGAACGCCAACAAATACAAATAGGCTGTATTAGGAACGGGCCCTGGACAGACTGAGAGGCTGTACCCCGGCCTGAGAAAACATCCTTACAGATGGCGCCCTAGCAGGGACCCTTAGAGAAGAAATTTGCGAAAAATAGTGCAAGAAATTGTAGGAGCAACCAGCGATAAGTGGTATGAACACCAGTACAGCGTAGATCTGCCTCAGAGAATCAGCCACCCCCAAAGCCAAGATCACAGACCCAGCCCCATATACCTCGTGCGACCACGACAGGGACAGCATAGAATCATCCAAGAACAACGAGCCGAGCAACAACACACGCCAAAAAAAAAAAAAAACAAAACCGCAGGCAGCAAAACCGACCCTCCAACCCATGTACAGCTGAGGCTGGTTTTCTAAGCTCCTCGCAGCCACGCGCCAAGAGAAGTTTGGCAACAGCGCGACCACGCTTCGCGGTCGGCCGTTGCAGCAGCGACGCCCGAAAACACATTGGCGCACAGGCGAGAAAGAGACAGCAGGTGACGCCGAGAAGTTCGGCAACAACGCAACCACGCGGTCGCAGCATCGCCACGCGCGGATCACGCGACGTGAAAATCGGCAACAGCGCTTCGACGCCCCAGAGGGGCAGCAGCTACAAAACTACAAGGCGACGGTAACTACGCAAGAACAATATAAGGCAGCGCCCAAGCCCAGGAAAGGGAGTGGAGTTCTAGCCCTCGATGTGAACAGTGAACAAAATAATAGCTCTAGCTTCCAACGGAAAAGACACTCTAACAAACAAAAGCCCTGTTCATAAATCCTTTAGTGCCAAACCAAACATCCTTCCGCAGGATGAATCACCTAGTATCGCGCCGCGAATCCTGACAAAGGATCAAAAGTCCTTAGTGCCAAACCAAGCATCCTTCCGCAGGATCACCCACCTAGTGCCAACCGTTTGGTAACGCGCCGCGCCAAGTGCATCGATCCCTAGTGCTGTGCCCATAGCCCTTGCCAAGGACCACCGATTCCTAGCACTGTGCCGTGCACCCGTGTCCAGAAGGAGTACTTATTCCCCCGCACCAAGCCACCTAGCCCTGCACGCTACGACCTCAAAGGGGAAACATGGGCTCGCGCTGGATATCCTACCGTCGGAAGGACGAGCTATAAGGATTGGCCCAAGAGTTTGGACTCGAGGCTGCCGGAACGGTGGATGAGCTCCGAAGCCGGATCGCCGGGTTTATTTCACGCGGCGGCCACTCGGAGGAAATTCAGGCAAGGATAGCTGAGTTGGACACCCACTTCGGCAATATCCCCAGTCCCAGGGACCCACGAAGCCCCGCAACGTCTCCAGGACCAGAGACGCGAGCAAAGGAGGAAGGAGGCAGGGATAGGTAGCAGCTCTTATTGGTGATCACTGAACCAGCCAACACGACCCGACAGGCCGGGCCCAAATCTCCAGGTCGCCCCATGACCCTCAGGACACACCCAGGACAAGGAACGGGGGCCTCCGAGCCACTGCCCACCGATGGAAACCTCCAGCAAAGCCCAATTCTGGAACTGCCACAATGGGTACTCCCCGAGTTGCCCAGCACGAGCCAAGGATTGGGGATCAGTGCCGCTGGACCCCGTGACACGACCGCTGAGCCACAGGCTGGCCAGGGTAACCACCAGCAGCCCAACCGACAGGAGCCACCCCAAATGGCCGTGGCTGAACCATGCAGTATGCCTCGAAGGCCAGGACCTAGCACCACCGGGCCACGCCCCACCGGGAGTCAGCCATCAATCGTCGACAGCCACTACCAACCTGGTCTGTCTCAGGGACAACGGGCCCCCCACTCAGGAGGCGAGGTCTCGTCTTCCCTGCTGGCAGACAAGCTCAGGAAATGGGAGCTCACGTTCAATGGCCATACGAACCCTCTGGCATTCATCGAACGACTAGAGGAGCGGGTCGAGTTGTACGGAGGAAGCCCGGAGCAACTGCCACGAGCCGTATCCGGCCTCTTGACAGGTAAGGCCGAGGGGTGGTTTCGAACCTTTCAGAACTTTCAGAACTGCACAGATTTCCGGAAGGAATTCTTGGAGTTTTTCTTGCCGCCCCGATACTTCCAACGCTTAGAGGACACCATCCGAAGCCGGGAACAGAGGCCCAAGGAGTCCTTCCGGGACAACCTGATCGAGCTACGACTGATGATGCAGCGGGCTCAGTACACTCGAGAACAAGAATTGGACCGGATTTACGAGAATCTCCGACCAGAGTATCAAATGTATACTCGCAGGCAAGACTTCCACTCGCTGACGGAATTAACTCAGCTCATCTCGGCATATGAGACCGCCAGGGACCGCGGCCCATCACGCACCAACGTATCTACACCGACGTACCTACAGCGGGCCTCACACGGAGGCCAAGGGGCCACAAACCAACGGGGTGCAAACCACGAGGCATCCGGAAGGTCAGAGGCCGCCCATCTAGGGAAACGACAGGATGAGGAGGGACCGGTCGACGTGCGGCGGGCCTGCCGGAAGTGCGGAGAAGATGGACATTTTCGTAGCGACTGCAACAATCAACAGAAGCTATTCTGTTGGGAGTGCGGCCGCCGAGGAATCCGGACTATCAATTGCTGCCGAAAGCTCGAGTCGGGAAACGAGTCCGGTCTCGGCCCCACTGGGACACGAGCGGAGACGCACACCCAAGATCCGGGGACATCCACCCACTAAGCATGGCATGAGGGAGGATCGTGGCTTGCTCAGCCAAACTCGACACAGGGGCCACCACGGTCTTTCATTAGCCGGCGGAGAGCGGACGAGATAGGAACGGCAGAAAACCAACGAGCAGTGAGAACCAGGATCAGCCTAGCCGACCACTCAAGGAAGGAGATCACACAGGCAGTAGCAGCGACGGTGCGCCTCGACCAGCAGGAAACACAGGTATCTCTCTTAGTGTTACCCACAGTACTGGATGACATCATTCTGGGGCTTGACTTTCTGTGTGGTATCCGTGCAAGGATCCACTGTGGACGAGCGTATCTGCAACTCAAGCGGCGCCAACACCCTCCTGAGAACACACCAGAAATCACGGCGTCACTGGGTCCAAGAACGGTGACGTTTGCCGACCCAATAGTCATGAACGACGGCCTGACCACCACTCAAAGGCCCTTGCCCACAACACTGGCCACCAACCAAATGAACAGCCATAGCCAAGCAGGACACGACAACCAAAGCAGGACAACAGATTCGACACCCAAACCGGACCCAAGCCCGATTACGACAAGGAAAGCTGCGACACCGATGGGTCCAACCATGGCCAGTTCCCTCATTCGTAGCACGCCTTCAAAGCATCACCAGGACCAAGTGACTTCGGCCCAGATGGCTGTGGCTCCGCTGGACCAATCCAGGGCCAGTCAGACGAACCGAGAGTCGCCTTCAAAGCATCGCCAAGACCAAGTGACTTCGGCCCAGATGGCTGTGGCTCCGCTGGATAAACCCAGGGCCAGTCAGACGAACCGAGGGTCGCCTTCAAAGCATCGCCAGGACCAAGGGACTTCGGCCCAGATGGCTGTGGCTCCGCTGGACCAATCCAGGGCCAGTCAGACGAACCGAGAGTCACCTTCAAAGCATCGCCAGGACCAAGTGACTTCAGCCCAAATGGCTGTGGCTCCGCTGGACCAATCCAGGGCCAGTCAGACGAACCGAGAGTCACCTTCAAAGCATCGCCAGGACCAAGTGACTTCGGCCCAGATGGTTGTGGCTCCGCTGGATCAATCCAGGGCCAGCCAGACGAACCGAGAGTCGCCTTCAAGTACAACGGGAACAACAGCTACGACTCACCAGGAACGAAAGAACGCGGCCCCATGTCTGAAATTACATCGAGCCGCGACTAGCAAGCGAGGGGTCATCAGACCAAGCAACCCAAGAAGTGAATACAGCACCCCGACACCACGGGACGACCCCAGCCAGAAAAGGACGACAGACTACCAGCTGGAACCACGGGCCGACTCTAGAACAGCTCGA